AAAAAAAAAAAAAAAAAAAAAAAAAAACTCGGACTCGAGTTAGTTTCGGGGCAGTTGAGTTATTAGAATCAATATCTCGCTACCCCCTCTGACTGGACTCTCCACGTCCACACTATCTGTCTGTCTGTCTGTCTGTATTCTAATTTTTGATTCGACCGGCTTCGAAAAGCTGCCAGCTGGTAAACTTCAATCTGGACCCATTTACCCAGACCTTATGCTAGGAGGTTACACTCGATCGATCACAATATCTCGGATGGAGAGGGCCAAAGAAAGGCAAGAAAGAGAGCGACGTCTAGATTGGAGGGAAAAAAAAAGTACCAAAGAGAAGTCACCACAACGGGGATTTCTATTGCACCGTCCCCTGATTTATTTGTTTTGGAGTTGTGCCCCTAGATTGATACTTGTACGGTACCCCCCAAGATCTGAAGACTTTATTTCTAAAGGGCTGAGAATCATTTTGTTTGCTGTCTATTGCCATCCGGTACCATTGTTAGCAATTGTAATTTGATAGGAAAAGCAGAGCTCTGGTCTACTGTCTGCATGGGTGTGGTATCATTCGCACACAGTCGCTTAACCTCACAACCTCCACCCCATAATAGCAATACAGTTGTTTATCCGGAGAGATAACGCTCATAATCCTTCGAAGTCTCTGGTCTTGAGCCTGACGGGTCGTACGCTCCTGTGTTTCTGTCCGCTCCGACTCAAGCCGGGCCGTCTCCTCTTCTGCCAGTCTCTGCTCCAATACCTTGACCTCTGCCTCCACCCCCTCGAACTCCTTGCGTGGAGCCAGGGACGTGATTCTCTGCTCCAACTTCACCAGGCAGTGCCAAAGGCAATATCACCAGAATCCTTTCACTGAGTAGCGGTATCCTCAAGATACTTTGTGAGATTCACCTGCCTCGCCGCGAAAGGAACCCTCCATAGCTGCTGCATTTCCCTCATCAAATGTGGCTTGCTCCAAAGTCTTGATCCGCGCTGTCAACTGCGCGATCGTAGTAAGAAGACTATTTTTCCCGCTCGATATATCTTCCAAATGTGGCCTTTTGGCACCTTTCTCTTGTTGATCATGCTCTATTTTCCTCTTCAACTGTAACTCCCTTCGCCGGCGTTCCATAATGACTTTGATATCATCTTCCGGCCCCTCTCCTTCCACGCAAATGTTTCCGGTATCTGCTCTGTTTAAGATTGGAGTAGTTCCTTCATGTGATCGCGGCGTCGTGACTCTGGAAATAAGTGGCCTTGGTTCTGCTGCTGACCGAGGTAGCTCACAAATCGCTGCCAGCCACGGAATCGAGTGAATGCCGTCTTGGAGATCCTCTATCAGCTGCTCCAAGATCCCGAGCCTTTCCTGGGTTGCAAGAGTCTGTCGTGGAAATTGGCCTGAAAACCTTTGCATCATCATGCAGGTATGCTTGGTAGATTTCAAATGTGCAGCCAGCGATCGAAGATCAGGGTCGAAACCAAAGTCGAGCCGTACATTGCATTCATGGCATGTAACATGAACAATGTTTGGGGAGTTCGCATAGTGAAGGATGTCGAGGCGATCATCAGGGTATTGTTTACGTAAGTCCGCCACAGTGGTTTCCATGGTACTGAGTGCAAAAGAGGTAGGTAATGGCTTTGAAAAGCCAGAACCATCAATGGGCCAGCTCGCAGATCCTATTAGAACTATATTTTTCACTTCGTCGAGGGTATCGTCGGTTTCAGATTTTATTTCATCCTAAGAAAATGTCAGGGCTTATGGAACCTTTGGGGCTGTTAATTTTCGACAGAATTCTGGGATAATGAGGGTTACAGATTGTAGAGAATGTTGTGGGACATGGGGAAGCCGAACGCTGCCCCCGACTCCACTGAGAGTGCATGAGATGAAATGTATTGATAATACTGTCACCTACCTCGACGATTTCGAATTTTACTTTTGGCCGCATTTCAGACTGTAATCGATCGTAGTAAGAAGCAGCTTCTGGTCCATACAGCCTTATCAAATCATTTTGGCTTATACTATCGACATTGGCGTCGAGGAAACGTTCTAAGCGTGACAGCGACTGCTCGCTTTCCAAGTCCGGGCCTTGCGGATCTGGATCTGGGGTGCGAAATGAGTGTCGGCATCTGAAGAAGCGTTTAGCTTCGAAAGAAGAGCACAGATCGTAGCCACCTTTTCGGTTGTGCTCCAGAATATTGTCCTATTGCTAGGTCAGCACAGCCATTGTTTTCGTGCCGTCGTTCAATACCTTGACCATTCGCCTAAAAGCTCGAATGAGCAGTTTTTTCGCCATTTTGCGATTTGGGGCACACCGGGCAGGAAGGAAGGCAGTCTCATAAATAGTTTGCGGACTCGTACGACGAAGAGCTTTTCGTACAATCATACAAATTAGGTCCAAGTATTCTGCACAGTCAGCTGAGGTGAGTGTTGCCAGCTCCAAATGCGGGATTACTTTCGTGTTTGCTGTTGATGATTCTGCAGCTCGACGGCCTGGAGGTACATAACAACCACGGTGTCTCAAGGCGCAGAACGATAAGACTTTTTCCATTGAAGTTTTTACCGCAGGTCCACAGCCTTTGGTGAAATACTCTTCCGCCCAAGTTTCGCGGCGCTCAGGATAATCTTGAACGAGGATATGATCATCTAGTTCTGTGCCATGATAGGATTTGTTACATCCAGTTGCATTGTAACGCTTTAGGATGCCGTCCTGAATATCATCAGTCACCGTGGAGCTATGGATCTGAATGATCACATACCTCAATCGCACGCTCCCTAACTGCTGCACGAAATCTCTCGGCAGTCAGACGAAAGCTCTCCAACTCGCTATCACCATCATGATCATCACCATCATCATCATGGGGCAGTAGATTGACCTTATGGCGGACTTTGGAGGCGTGAACCACGTACGTGACGAAATCATCGTATTCCTGGCAGACAGCGGTAGCGGGGCCTCCGATGGACGATTTTATGACCGTACCACGGATTGGTGCACCGAGGAGTGATTTTACCCGTGATTTAGTTTTGACCTGAGCGATCTTCGCAGCTGATGATGGGTGGCTGTTCTCTGGAACACCATTGCATCCGACCGACTCAAGCTGTTGCGTTGGTCCCGCTCGAGAGCTTTCCTGATGTTGTGAAGGACCTCCCTTGAAGGGAGCTTTGACCGAACCCGTTGCTGATGGTTTCGTGAAAGCGGTCTCAACGGATGCTCGTGGCACTGGCTCCACCTGCTGAAATGTCTTCCCCGGTGTAGAAGGGATCTTATGCTTCCTCTCTTTGCGCTTCGCCGTCGCCTCACTCTTCTTCCATCTCGAGACTGCTCGACCCATCCATACGTTCAAAGCGGTATGCATCCAAGTTCCCATGTCGTCTTTCCATTTCCTAGTACATTGTTCCTTTAAAGCTGCAGCAGATTTCTGAGTAATGATCTCTCTCATAGCATGATTCAGACGGACCTGCATCGGAACGTCGCCCCATACTTCTTGACAGGCGGAGAAGACGATCTCGCACAGTTCGGCTCTGGATATACCTGCCACCTCCGAGATGTAAAGCTCCAACGCTGACCAATTGCCTCCAGCAGTATCTTTCTCATTCTTCCAATCTGAAAGATCGTGGTTTTTGGGATCTGCAAGCCATTTTTTGGCGGCCGGAACATCATACACTGGGAACGGAGGAAGTCGGGTCGGTAGATTCTTCGGATCCATTACGAAGCACGCTCGAGGTTTACGGATTCCTCGACCGATCGTCGAGAACGTCAACGATAGTCAATGTATCGACAGGAACATGCATTTGTGTGGGATTTCCAAGGACTCCAAAGAAGGTGGTCGCCAGAGACAGGTACGAATGTATGTATGAGCAGACGTCAATGGTCAAGATATGATTGATCCATGGTGCATGAAAGGTTTGAAGTAATCGCTTGGGCCGCCCAAGGATGACCCACGCGATTAAGCTCGGGCTTGCGCGTTCACACGTGCTGTCGCGATTGATATACAGCTCGGTTCTATTTAATAGCAACAACCATCGATGGAAATTATGCCGGATACAATGGCAATCTACGTGTTGTAGTCACTATCAAATGTTGATAGCTTCGGATGCCCGCTTCTCAATGAAGCGAGGCCTATCCCGATGCCGTGAGGAACAACCAATGTGAGTAACACCCACACCGTCAAACAGAAGACCAATGAACTCTGCCTGACCAAATCATGGTTCGATTTATCAGGATTGCAGCCCGATGACTGGAAGGGCTCTCTTGAGCAATCTATTTGACAGATGGCGAAAACTCGCCCTCCAATAACTTGTCCAGGTATCGCCAGCCAAATCAATTACATTCACATACCAGCGGATTTTCCCTTGTTGTACACGCCCAGACCCAGACTCCATCGCTATTCTGAATTCGAAGCAGCCCAGACTTCGACTACCCATCATCCATCTACTCGGGGCCCGAGTCCATCTTGAATCGCTTGGGACAGCGTGCTCCAGTCCAGACCACCGATAGAACGGTTATTGACCCCTCGCATAGAAAGTGACCCAGCAAAGTCGCCCGTTCCGATCCGTCTCATCATCAAGGTATCTTTGCTCTTCTTCAACAAACGGCCTTCACCGCGCATGATGTAGTCTTCGAGCCACCCATCTTCCTCTCTCGTCAACGGCAAGCTAACGAGCTCAACGCTGCGGTCGGCGATAGTGTCCTTGGACGAGTTATTGAGAACCAAGGAGACGAGGAGCTCAAACATGTGGCGGTGTGCAAACTCTGGCTGGCCTCGGGAGAAGTACAAGGCCTCCGTTACACTGGTCCTCGCGATGGCCGAGAACAAACATTCGATGGAGGCTCGACTCGACAGGGTAGGTTGGGCTGTGTGGTAGTAGGCCAAGGCAAGTGTAAGATCGCCTCTGGACCTCCTGACCAAGGTCTCCAGTATCTCGTCAGCGAAAGTTGGAATCAATGAGGGGTGTGTCAAGTATTGGATTGCCAACTATTTTCTGTCAGCACGTCCTTGTTTGTGCGGATTACAAGACTAACATCGAATTCTTGTCGATCCAGGTGCCATAGACCCTTCATGTAGATTGCATAATTTTCTGGCAGGGAGGACTGTCGTTGTAATTCGGCCTGATAGTCTCTCTTGCCCGTAGGATAATCAAATGTGATGAGGATGTAGTAGAGCACGGAGAGCTTGTGATGATCTGCGCCTGAGCTTTCAACGATCTGTTTGTGGAGGGTTCGTAGAGAGCTGTTGTCTATGGGTGGATAGTTCTTCGATGCTGTAGAATTTCAAGTTGAAATCAGCCATAAATCCTACGCGCAATGCTGACGGAGCTGGGAAGGCCCTACGTCTCACGATTCCTAGCATCTTCATTACCCGGTCAATGAAGAGAGGCTCCAAAACCTTGCGGTTCTCCGTGGTCTGCATCACTGTATCCTTATCATAAAAGCATTCCGTATCGAAGGCGAAGACTTCCTCGAAGATCTGATAGTTGAACATTATTGCGCCTGAGTGGGGATTTGCTGAGATGCGATGCGACCAGACAGTGTGGTGGTAGAGGAGATTGAAGCTGCCTCGTCGGAAAGGGTCAGCAGTATAGAAACAGTAGAATGCACACTGAAATATGGACTTTGAGATCAAAAGAAGCCGCAACGAATATCGCAGAATATTCGAGGATCATGCGCTTTGATTTTGCTTGAGAATAACTTGCCGTTGTAAATTTTTGGTTGTCAAAAACAGGAAGCTCCTTGGTCAGCTGGAGAGGCGCGATAAGTACTTGATGCATGTTCTTATCTTAGCGCCGATTTGAAAGTAAACACCATTTGTGAACTTTGTAAACAGCCCGCTCAGCAATCCTCATCCGCACACACTTGACAACAACCGACCACCATTCTGGACAGCTTCTCGACACGCCACTTCAATAAATCAAAATTCTAAGAACCTTTCTTGCGCATAGAGCTAGTGCTTCCCGCTCTGAACCAGCATACAACGCGTGGAATAACGCGGGCTTCGTCTCCAGGGCAAACACTTGCCGTCTACGCCTCCAACATGTCCGAATTACCCGTCCGGCCTTCCAGGAGGACGGCAGCGCGTAGGAAAGTTGTGGTCGATTCCGATGAGGAAGAAGAACATGTGCAAGCTGAGATAGGTGAGGATAGCGAGGAGGACTTTACCCCAGCGCCAAAACGAAGCCCTCGAAAGGCACCAGCAGCCAGACGGAAGACGACCAACGTTGTGGCCAATACCCCGAAGACTGGGGGTCGTCTAAGGAAAAGCGTAGCCAAAGAGAACATCGAACCGTTGGAGACCTTCGACCCGGAGCAAACTGTCCAGCCGGAACCAGAATCGCCAACCAAGAAGGCATCACCACGAAAGCGCAAGAGCGCACCAGTGAGAGCGTCTCGATCCTCTGCTACTCCGGAGCTGCAACCGCCGACATTGCCAACACCAGAAGCTTCTGCCTCTCCCGAACCTTCACAGCTTCATGGAACCCCGCTAGCAGATATAACAGAGACCCTCAACGAGCGGCCTGGTACATCTGGGAGCCAGACCACTATGGTGAAGCCAATAAATGCGATGGACACGATTTTGGAAAGACCTATGGATATCGTACTAAAATCCAGGTCAATGGCCGCCCCGGTCGTAGAGAATTCTGGACCAAAAGCTCGAATCGTCATCACATACTTGATCCTTACGAATTTCAAAAGTTACGCTGGTCGCCAAGAAGTTGGTCCTTTTCACGCCTCGTTCTCTTCCGTCGTTGGACCTAATGGTTCCGGAAAGTCGAATGTCATTGATTCCCTTCTATTCGTCTTTGGGTTTAGGGCCAGCAAGATGAGACAGGGCAAGATTTCGGCGCTGATTCATAATTCCGCCGCCTTTCCCAATCTTGATCATTGTGAGGTAGCTGTGCACTTTCAAGAAGTCATGGATCAAGTGAGTATTCCGAAATGTAGATTTCGTGATCAGTCACTAATATACGTAGCCGACTGGACCTCCAATGATTATCCCGGGCTCGGATCTTGTGATATCTCGTCGTGCATTCAAGAACAACTCTAGCAAGTATTATATGAATGGCAAAGAGTCGAATTTTACTGTAGTCACAACGTTACTCCGAGACAGAGGCGTGGATTTGGACCACAAAAGGTTCTTGATCCTTCAGGGTGAGGTCGAATCGATTGCTCAGATGAAGCCCAAGGCTGCAAACGAGCACGATGATGGTCTTTTGGAATATTTGGAGGATATTATTGGCACGTCCAAATACAAGACGCCTATTGAGGAGTCGGCTACTGAGGTTGAAACTCTTAATGAAGTCTGCGTCGAGAAGAGTGGGCGTGTTCAGCACGTTGAAAAGGAGAAGAACGGCCTGGAGGACAAGAAAGATAAAGCGCTGGCGTACATCCGAGACGAGAACGAATTGACGATGAAGCAATCGTCTCTTTACCAGCTTTATATCGACGAATGCGGCGACAATATCAACGTGACCGAAGAGGCAATTGCCCAGATGCAAGCTCAACTGGACGCCGAGCTTGAGAAGCATCAGGGCAACGAGGATGGGATCAAGGAGCTGGACAAGCAGTACAAGAAAGGCCAAAAGGAACTTGATGCTATCGAGAAAGACACTCAGGCAATTCTCAAAGAGATGGCAAAGTTTGACCAGGAACATGTCAAATTCGAGGAGAAAAGAAAATTTCTTGCTGGGAAGCAAAAGAAATTGGAGAAAACGATCAGCAGCTCCGAGACTGCAGCAGCTGATGCCCAGACCTCAATCGAAGAATGTACCATTGAGATCGAGAAATCTGCGCAGGAAATAACCACCATGGAGAAGCGCATGAAAGCTGAGGAGCAAGAGCTTGGGGTCATCCGAGACAATCTCAAAGGGAAGACCCAGATATATTCGGACCAAATCGCATCGAAGCAAAAGTCCTTGGAGCCGTGGAACCAAAAAATCAACCAAAAGCAGTCAGCAATTGCTGTTGCTCAAAGTGAGCTTGCCATTCTTCATGAAAAGGCCAATGCAGGCGCTGTGGCACTTGTAGAGACGGAAGCGAAAATTGCTAGCATCGAGGAGGGTCGTGAGGCCAAGTTGGCAGAGCTCGAAGAATGCAAATCGGAGCGGTCGAGTTTGGAAAAAGAGGCTGCTAGAGTCGGGTCCGAACTTGAAAAGCTGTCTCAGAAGGAGCCCGAGTTTCGATCGCGTCTCTCTGGAGCCCGTCAGAAGGCAGATGAGGCACGTGCAAGTTTGTCCAATACACAAACCCAGGGCAATGTGCTTACTGGCCTCATGCGACTCAAGGAATCCGGACGTATCGACGGGTTCTATGGCCGACTTGGAAACCTCGGAATCATTGATCAGAAGTATGACGTCGCTATTTCCACAGCTTGCGGTGCTCTCGACAACTTTGTCACCGATACTGTCGAAGGGGGCCAGCAGTGTATTGAGTATCTCCGGAAGACCAATCTTGGACGCGGAAATTTCATGTGTCTTGATAAGTTGGGAAGCCGAGACATGTCGCCTATTGATACCCCTGAAAATGTCCCTCGCTTATTCGACCTCATCAAAGCCAAAGATGATAAATTCCTACCTGCTTTCTATCATTCGCTTCAGAATACCTTAGTCGCCAAAGATCTCGATCAAGCCAACCGAATTGCCTACGGAGCAAAGCGATGGCGAGTAGTGACCCTCGATGGGCAGTTGATCGACAAGTCAGGTACCATGTCCGGAGGAGGCAACACAGTCAAGAAGGGTCTCATGTCCTCTAAACTTGTTGCGGATACTTCAAAGGAGCAGGTGTCAAAGCTTGAAGTGGATAGAGACGGATTAGAGCAAGAATTTCAAAAATTTCAAGACCGCCAAAGAGAATTAGAGACGAAGCTCCGAGACCTCAATGAGCAGATCCCACGTCTCGATACAAAGATACAGAAGATCGGCCTTGAGGTTGAGAGTTCGGCAAGAAATCTGGCCGACGCTCAGCGCCGCATCAAAGAATTGAGCAAGGAGCACCAGCCATCCAAGACCGATGACAGCCGAGTCGCATCTCTCGAGAAGGAGATAGCAAAACTTGGTAAGGAGATCGACAAGCTGCATGGCGAAACTTCCAGCGTTGAGCAAGAGATCAAAGCTCTGCAAGACAAGATCATGGAAGTGGGTGGCGACCAGCTCCGTGCACAAAAGTCAAAGGTCGATGCTTTGAAGGAGGAAATCAGCAACCTTAGCGAAGCCATCTCTGCAGCCGAGGTGACGAGAGCTAAAGCAGAGAAGCAGAAGACCAAACAGGAGAAGGATCACGCGAAAGCCACCAAGGAGCTCGAAGCTGCGATTTCCGACCTTGAATCTCTGGAAGAAGACATCCAGAACCAGAGTTCGAACGCTGAGGGGTACCAAGCCCGAGTCGACGAAGCATCGGAAGCTCTCAAAGCCAAGAAGAAGGACCTCAATGCCCTGAAGGCCGAGCTGGACGAGAAGACGGCAGCCCTTAACGAGATCCGAGCCGTCGAAATCGAAATGAAGAACAAGCTCGAGGAGAACCAAAAAGTTCTCGGCGAGAACCAGAAGCGACTTCGTTACTGGAACGAGAAGCTGGGCAAGCTAGCTCTCCAAAACATCAGCGACTTGGGTGAAGAGACTGAGGCTCAAGAGCTTCCGCAATACACCAAGGACGAACTGGCAGACATGCACAAGGACACTCTCAAGGCCGAGATTGCCGCTCTCGAGGAGAAGACCCAGAACGTAAACGTCGAACTCGGCGTCTTAGCCGAGTACCGTCGCCGCGTCGAAGAACACGCTGCCCGCCACGCCGACCTCCAAAGCGCTGTCGCCCAGCGTGATTCCGCCAAGAAGCGCTGTGATGATCTCCGCCGCCTCCGTCTCGAAGGCTTTATGGAAGGCTTCAGCACCATCTCGCTCCGCTTGAAGGAGATGTACCAGATGATTACCATGGGTGGAAATGCCGAGCTCGAACTTGTCGACTCTCTGGATCCGTTCTCTGAGGGTATCCTGTTCAGCGTGATGCCGCCAAAGAAGTCGTGGAAAAACATCTCGAATTTGTCGGGCGGGGAGAAGACGCTGAGTAGTTTGGCGTTGGTGTTCGCGCTACATCATTACAAGCCGACGCCATTGTATGTCATGGATGAGATTGATGCTGCATTGGATTTCAGAAACGTAAGACCCCCACCCTACTGGCTCAGCCAACCTCGACTGGATGAAGTTAACACTTTCAGGTCTCCATCGTTGCCAGTTACATCAAGGAACGAACGAAGAATGCTCAGTTCATCGTTATCTCTCTCCGCAACAACATGTTCGAGCTCGCGTCTCGGCTTGTGGGGGTGTATAAGGTCAACCACATGACCAAGAGCGTGACGATCGAAAACCGGGACTATATCAACGGCACGCCGGGCATGACTGGTGCTGCGGCGTAGGGTAGATATCGATTCTATGTGAGGATTGATATGTGATGATAAGATGAGGTTGGGTAGGGTAGGGCTGTTTTGTGTTTTGATTTGGCGTTCGGGTCGTATGCATGTAACATACCTTCATATATCACGACGACAGCGTAATGAACTTCCTATGGATTTCCTCCCATCACATCACATCACATCACATTCCGTCCCCATTCCCGTCCCATGGTAGCAAACAGCAGACAGCAAACAGCAGACAGCAAACAGCAAACAACAAACATTTCGCTGACTGTTTCCAAGCAAAGGTGCCAAGAAGATCGAGAAGTCACGGTATTGCTAACTAAGTGCATCCAGTTTTTACACCCCAAAAATCTCGCATCAAACCTCACTCATCCTCCACAACCTCTCCCCTCTGCCCTCTCACTTCGCACTCTCAACCAACCTCTCAGCGAGCCATTCCGGCACGCTCAGAAATGGAAAATGTCCCGCCTCGCACCGAACCACAACATCAAACGCACTTGGCGCGGCCTCCTTCGCGGCGGCAATCATGCTTTCCTTTATTTTTCATTAATCCAGCAAATCAGCACCGATCCCTTTTAAAGAGTCTCGGGAACGGGGCGGGATCTTCTCTTGGAACCCTGATCCAATAAAAAAGACACAAGATTCCAATCCCAAGACAGTGGGAAACCACCAAGAAACAAGAGGCTTGGGGGGGGGGGGTTGATGATTGATTATTGGCTTACCTGGCCCTGCACCGGAATGGCATTGTCCTTCTCGCACACCACGTAGGTGCTCGGAATCGTCTTCCACGGTGCGACGGTGAGCCGCGAAAAGAAGGTGCGGTAGGAATGGTGCCTGATGGCCGCGATGTGAGGCGCGGCTGCTTCCGGCGAGAGGTCGTTGTAGAAGATCTCCTTTGGATCGGTCGGGCGGACCGCGTCGCCCTGGTCGATTTTTCCAAAATCTCCCGTCAGTCTTCTGCTCTGCGTACGAGGGGAACCGGGCCGCACGCCGAGCAAGGAACAGGCAAAATGGGGGGGGGGGGAGAGAAAATACATGTGTACGCACATCGACCGCCAACCACGGGAGCTTCCGTCCTCCGAAGCCCGCCATCAAGCTTCCTCCCTCGGGCATCGCAAACGCACTGATAAACACGAGCCGGCGCAGTCTTCCCCGTCGTACCTGCTGCTGCTGTCCGCCCCCGTTCCCGCTCTCAGCTTCGCTCACGTACTCTCGCAGGCTCTCGCAGCCGACGACGCCGCCGTAGGAGTGCATGACGAGCACGGCATCGCGGCCCGAGGATAGCACCTCGTGAACAACGTCCTGGACGGCCTGGACGTCCGGCTCGAAGTTCTGGAGGGGCGGCTGCGCGCCGAAGCTGGGCAGCGTGACGCCGTGGACTGTGTAGCCTGCTTGCGCGAGGAGGGCCGTCGTCGGCTCGAAGGACTCCGGGCTGTGCCAGGCACCGGGGACGAAGATGAACTCTGGTTTCGCGGCCATGGGGAAGCGTGGATTTGCTTGCTTTTTCTTTGCCTTGCCTCTCTTTTTCGTGCTGCGTGGTGTGGGTGAGTGAGTGATTGCAGTCTCGCGCGGGTTGAGGAACTGTTCTTGGGGGGAGTTGCACGCTAGAAGTCAAGTATTCGATCAAAGTTACCGATATGAAACCTCAGAGAGAGAAAGAGAGAGCTATTTATAAAAGATTCCCACCCAGAGAAAGCGGATTCAGTGCCAATTTGTGAATCAAAACGATTGTGAATCCCCTTCTCCATGGAAACGGGAAGACCATCCGAGTCTCGCTTAAAAAGCTGCAGTTACCCGACCCGTACTTGACCCGACTCGAATATATTATATTATATTAAAGCAAAAAGGGACCCGAGCCCGATCACCGAAAGTTTTGCGGCGGCTTTTCCACTTTCAAGAAAAGCCGAGTCTTTACATCAGGTCTCGTCTCCTTCGTCCTTGCATGAATTGAAAGTCTCGAAATTACACACACCCCTTGTCGACCTTCTTCCACCCAATTCCTAAATAAATGAGCTCGCTAATCATTCTTCCAACGACAGACTTTTTTGGGGGGGAAAAAAAAGAGAAAAAAAAAAAATTTTAAATTAAGAGGAAAAAATAATCATGATAAAATCCCTTTCTACAGTACATAGGTAGAGATACCTAGCGTTCGCATAAAGTAAACCCATTCCGTCCCCCTAAGGACCTACCTACCTCGCCTCGCCTCACCTCGCCTAGCCTTACCTCGTCTTTTACAAAACTCTACTCCGTCTCCGCATAAGCAAGTCGCAAAAACGCAAAACACAAAACAGAAAACAAAATACAAATACACTCAGTCAGTCAGCCAGTCTTCTTCTTCTTAATCATGATCATCTCCTTTGACGTAATCACCTCCATCCATCTTCACCGAGTCGAGTCGAGTCGCGATCCACGGCCGAGATCTACCTACGCATCCACATAACACACACACACACACACACACACACACATCCATCCACATAGCTACCTATCCATAATTTCTCTCTCCCTTTCCAAAGACTTCCAAAACCAGAAGTCACCATCACGCGCAGCTGATACATCGATTGTGATTTACATCTAACACATATCACATTCATCTAACATATATCACATACGTAAAACATATGACATATATCTACACATATATCACACACATATAATACATCACACACATATATCGCATACCTAAAACATATATAAATCAATCTACCCATAGTGTCTCGGTATGCCCTGCGCACAACCCAGAACACAAAAGACCCTTTTGCCCCCGGGCTCGCAAGTTGGCGTTGGCGTTGGCGTTGGAACAGAACGGAACGTGGCAAAGCTGCTGGCCCGCAGCGCAGGTGAGAGAGAAAGAGGAAGTCCAAGAGAACGCTTTGTTCGTTTCTGTTCGGAGGCCAGGCAAGTGACGCGAAGGGAGATCAGATTGATACTTGAGATAAGAAGAGCGCGTACTCACTCTTCACTCCCACACACCTTCTGCGCTTCCCCAATCTCTCCTTCTCCTCCTCCTCCCAGGAGGTGGCCACTGGCAAGCAAGATCCATGCAAATTGAACGCTAACGAAAATCCAGATCGTAGGCATTCGACAGCAGTGACACTCCCAGGAACACTCTTCCATGCATGTACCCCACGCAAACGCATGGCTGCATCTGGGTATTCCCTCCCATTCTCTGATAGGCCGAGCCGCATACTCGGAGCATCACAGCATATCTCTATCATCTCAGATCAAAAAATAGCAAAACAGGGTAGTAGCCTGCGTTCAATCATCATTCTGCCTCACTCCATCTCTTAAGGAGTCTGTTTAGGGGCGCGATCCACCAAGACTAGCATTCAAGATAACCAAGTGCATGAAAGCACAATCCCATATCGACCAGAGAAGCAAGTAAATACCTGAACGGCAGGAAACAATCTGAAACCATTGGCCAAACTCCACACCACCCACGCTTGTCATGCAGTGATTTCCGAAAAAAGAAAGGACGCCCCTCAGCCGCACGCCTACTCAACGTCTTCATCGTTGCCATTAACACAGATTTCGTTCGCGGTTGGAGCCATGTGCGTATGTTGACCACCAATGCACGGCACATTGTACTTCTCCTCCCAGCGCTTTCGGCAGACCTCGTACAAAAAGGCGTATTGTTCGAAAGCTTGAACCATACTCCTTCGTTGCATGCGTAGCTGATTGACGGTCTCGTAGACTGGATCTTGGATAGCGTGCTCCGAGTCATCCCAGCCCTCCCATGCACCCCCTTCGAGCTCTCCAAGAAGGAATTCCAGAGCGACAAAGGTACCGGTTCGGCCGACCCCAGCGCTGCAGTGGACGAGACGAGCGTTCTCCCCACTACCGTTTGTCTCTCGGGAAATCTTCATCAGGTTCAGAATACTCTCAACGTTCTCCTCTGCAAGTGCACCGAAGTCAGGCCAGTTGGGGTACAAGTAGTGGTAGATTGGCTTCTCGTCACCATCCTCGCCATCGATAGTCATGATCAGCTTTCGGATCTCGATGGGTGTGCCCTCGATACCTGGCAGTCGCTCCACAAATCGTACCATGCCTTTGAAATCCTTGCCAAGCTCACCCGATTCATTGATTATCAGCGGAGGTGAGTTTTCATCGACGGGGTAATACTCATAGCACTTCTCAAACATCCTGGTTGGGTCGTTGGGCGACGGGGCGTGGGTGGGAGTAAGCATGATAACAACGCCAGGGGATGATGTGTAGGGCTCAGCAAGCTCATGCCAAACCATGTGCCAGACGTGATCGACGGTTTGCTTCTTGGGTCCTTGCATACAAATGTACTTGTCTTGGACACCGGCCTTCAAGTCACTCTGCTTGTTGGAGGTAGAGACCAAGGAGACTGGAGAGGCGTTGATGTAGTCATTGACTCCTTCAGGGACATGGAGCTTGATGCGATTGCCGGCCCAGGGATGGATGTTGCTGTAACGATCAAGGAGTGGATCAGGATCACGGCGTGCCCATTGGGGGTCAGTTTTGCTGAGCCCGACACGCTCGTTTTCAAGTCGGGTGAGCTCAGCGTACTTGTCCTTCATTTCTGACACCCATCGTCAACTAAAAGTTGGTCAGGCAAAGGTGTTGATTGACTTACCACTTTCGGTCAAGGTCAAGAAGGACGGAAGGAGAGGAGGTCTTAACCCGGCAGCAGGCTCATCTGTATACTTGGCATCGGGGGCAACAGGCTTGCCAAAGCACGATCCGTCCATCTGGGAGACCGAGGAGCCTTCACGGACCGGGACTGGAGAGCCGTCAAACTTGGAAGAGGATCGGTTGGAACGCATCTTTTTGAGCCACCCAGGCGATCGGATAGTTCTTTCGCTGCTTTCTGTTGACGAGGAGTCGGACGAGTCAAGAGGCGACGGGCGAGGCCTCTTGAAAGCACGTAGTCTCTCCAGATCGGCGAGGCCCGCGACTTTATAAGTGCGGGTTTATGTAGAGCAAGAGTGTATAAAGCCGGGTGCCGTGTCAATGAAGCGGAATGGCTTGTTGGGTTGTTTGTTTCTCGGGATGCAGGATCTGGCAATGAAATGCGGGTCCGAGGAAAGACGCAGCAAAGAATAGAACGAGATGCGATGAAATACACTGCAAAAATGGAGGGAGACGAAAGCGATGTAAGCAGGAAGTTGAAAGGATTGTTGAGTTCAAGTTTGGATGTGGATGTGGATGTGGGTGTGGACAGGTGAGAGAGCAAGAAGTGCTGGTGGTATGAGAGACGTTGGGGCGACAGGAAGGCAAGGAGGAGAGGCGGAGGAGAGGGAAAGCTTGAAATAATGATATGAGGGTGGATATCGAGATCAAGATCAAGAAGACGATGATTGAATCCGGGACGGAAGGGAGGAGAGGAAGAGGAATATGAAAGAGGACGAGGAATATGGAAAGGAAAGAAAAGTCAAAAGTCGAGAAGCTGCGATGCGATTATGATGATGCGACCCACTTGCCGTGTTATCGACCAATCTCGGATCGGATCCGAAATGTGGCGGGTCCGAGATCTTGTGCCGAGGCGAGCATCACCAAAGTTTATTCTTCGCCTCCGCGATTTGGGAAAGTCAACGCTAACGCCAACGCCAATACCGACACCGACACCAACACCAACACCAACATCAACATCAAGACCAACATCCCATCAGCACAGCACTTCCAAATTCTCCAGCCACCACGACTTTTTAACCAATTTGTAACGCAATGATCACGCCCGCCGCTCCAACGTCAAGATGAGGTGGTTAGCAATAGTAGAGGTAACCAACCAACCCATTCACCACTCACCTCTCATCACATCAAAGTCACATCCCCACTAACTAATCCCCCAGGTCTGGCTAGTAACGCGAGTACGTCCCTCCACCTTCCTTCCTTTCACCCCTTCGCCTCTGGCTCTCTCGCGATCCTCCCAAAGTTCTTGGACTAGCTATTTTCCATGTGTGGCTGGCTGGCTGGCTAACACAACCACCACTCTCTTTCACCTCGCGGCAGCTCCTCCAATCCCCAACCTTCCACCGTGCCGTCAGGAAGGTCCACAAGAAGGTGCACGAGATCCAGCGCGGCGAGAAGCTCGTCGACCCCTCCTCCGAGGCGCAGACGCGCGGCGGCACGAACATCGACCGCCCGCGGCCCGACCTCCGGCGCTTCCTCAAGCACTACATGGACGAGCTGAAGGATCAGTTCCGGGGCATCGGGAGGAGGTGAACCGGTCGCGGTGGTCCTGGAGTGCTGCTGCAGTATGCAGCATGCAGGAGGTGGGTGGATGGATGGACAGGCGAGATGCAGCTTGCAGCTTGCAGTTGGAGGAGGAAGATGGGAAGGTAGTGGTCGTGTACGGACGTGGAAGAGTGCCCTAATTGCGTTTGGAGCACGGCATAGATAGACGCACTTCGCTTGGTGTGCATGAGAGAGAGCAAGACAAATGGGCCCATCTGTATGCACGCATAGGAACCCGGTACGCCCGGTACGGCGTTGTTCTGGATACCCTCCTCCCTCACTCTGGGACGAGCACAAACATATATACAAAACTACTCCCAACAGCATAGAAGGGGATGAAAGATTAAATTCACGATTTTCACATGCTCAGAAGGTGCGTCAGGTCAAGGTGACTACCTACTCTCCATAGAGTAGGTCGGATGCTACTTATCTAGCAGAGAAAATTCCTACTTTTTTCTTCATATTCTGAAGAAGACGAAGAGGGAGGTTTGGACCCACTAAATTGGCGAGAGGGAGTCCTGATATACTCATCGCGGCGATGAATTTGTGCTATGAGTGCAGACGACCTCGAATCTACTCTACTACATGCGGACGCGATAATATGTACAAATAGGGTATCATAACATGCCAAGATGTGTATACATATGTACGTTTGATATATTGACAATCCCGACTTACCTCGACAAAGAAGGCGCATTCATACTTACTGCTTGGATATTTTTGTGCCTCCGTAGGCTAGCCCGTAAACGCCTCGCTAATCTCACATGGAAGGTAAAAGGGTAAACAACATTCTACCAAAGCACCTTCCCGCCTCATTTAAGCACGTCGTCCGATACACTCGTAGCACTGGTGCTTCACTATAACGTAGTCGGCAATGGGCTCCTCTCATTTGACGAATCTTTGTTCGTCGCATCATCCATGCACAGCTCATTCCCCTCTGCCAGCCGGATATCCATCTCGAATTCCCTCTCCCGCGCTGCCACAGTCTCGGGATGAAGTTTTCGGAGTTCAGCAAGCATGTCGATACTGGAGTCGCTATCTTCCTCTTCATCCTCGTCTTCATCATCCACGTCGTCTTCGTTCTCGTCATCGTCCTGCATCGCCTCGTTGGGTCGCGCAATAAGACCGTGTGATTTCGATGCCAGGAGTGTAGTGCGCCACGGCCGGGAATCCTGCGATGACGTGCTGCTGCTCCCGTCTGAGCCTTCGTCCGAGCTTGTATAAGCAGCGTGGTAATTAAGGGGCGGCGGAAGTTCAGATGGCTTCAGGTGGCGCAGGTTAGATGAGAGGATTTCTGTTTGGACCGAAGATTCCTTGGCAGCATCTGAACTCCTGGGGTGCAACGTGATCTCAGTCTTGCCATCGCGAATGAAGCTTTCGAGTGCAGATCTTGGAATGGAGTGGGCAAATTTACGATTGCTAGGACTAGTTGCTGAGAGTTTCGAGATCTTCACTGCGGCTGGGTTATCGACTATAGTCCGGCGGGTTTCGACCCGGATCGTGAAATGATCTGCAGGACGGGTGCCGCCGAGACCACTTGAGTCGAAGGTCTGTAGCTCAGGCGGTGGATTAACAGCTGGGGTTGAACCGTCAATGAACAGTTCTGACACAGCGTCATCGCTGAGTGGTTCAGGTGTGGTGGGTCGAGAGAGTCCTGGCCCGGGAATATCGGATCCTGTCGAGTCATCTTTGAATGGCCTGAATGGTAGCAATGATCCTGAAGGAGTACGAGGAAACGGAGGGGCATCGGTCCTAGTCACGCCAGGCACTTCATCCTCAACAAAATTAAAATAACCATCTTGGTCAATTGCAGATTCGTGCAAAGGCGTAGGAGGACCTCCACGGTCGCCAGATAAATCCGTGCAGAATTGAGCACCGTGGTAGTAAACTAATAATCCAGCGTCGTCGTGGTTCTTGTAGGGCATGGCATTCGGCTTCCGGCTCCATGATTCCATGCGCGGACGGCTTTCGTCTTTCGCACTATAGCCGAATAGGGACTCGCTTTCGTCCGAAGAATTTAAACCTGAAGTGGTCGCATGACGGAACATGGGCTTGTAATGAAAGTCTTTCGCTGGATCGTTTTGTGGGCGACGTTTACCCGGATCTTCGACTGTCACAGGAGCGAATTTTCTACCATCGACCTTGCGCCTTTTTTTGGTGGGTTCATCCAAGCTATCGCTATCTTCGGGGGTCTGGTGAGCGGCACTGCTCGCGCCACTATCGCTGCTTAGGCGTGTGCCCTTGGTCCCTCCTCGCCATCTGACTTTCTGTCCATCCTGAGAAATTTGAAAACGCTCACTCACGTCGGCTAGCGCTTCCCGCACGTAATCTGGAGTTACGTTCACAATGTGTAGCTGCGCCATATTGACAAGAAGATTCAGATAGATCCAACCTTGTGAATCAGCTGCTGAGTCCGAGTCCGAGGAATTTTCGCTGTTAAAATTAGGTGTGGACAGTCCCAGGTGGCGAATGTAGTCGACGTTGTCTGATGGAACCTGGGTTCGATCCGGGTCCAGATCAAGAGGTCTAGTCGGCCGTTGATCAGGCGAAGAACCTTCGGGAGATGCCTCGTCAGAAGCGTCCGAAACGTAAGTCTCAGGCTGAGTCACGCTGCTTGAGCCTTTTCTGTCGGCGTGCATAACGTGAGGATGAATAGATGCCTCCCGCATACCTTCCTTGACGTGCACTCCATCATTTGCAACTGCGTCGGCGTTTGCTGCAGATCTCGAGACTTCTTGTTGCTGCATTGGTTGACTGTCGACGCCATTGAGCAAGCCCTGCTTCCCGGTGAAAAGTTGCTCCAAACGCTGGACCACGAGCTTCTTCTTTTGTCGGTCTGTCATTACCATAGGTTGCTTGGGTAATAAGCCTTCCGGGATGTTGTGCAGGAACGACTGTACACTGTGTTCGTCCCTTGTTGGTTGACTGGCGGTCCTGCCTTCAAGACCAACGCGGAGTGGAGTTGAAGTCACCCCAGAACTAGAAATGGAGGCATATGCTGAGTCGAGAGGCCGGGAATTCGATGTACCAGACGACGTCGAATTCTTTGCACTGGGTTTCTTGGCATGATCAGGAGAGCTATATCTCGGCGTGGTACGAGAGCGGGAAGCGTCCTTCTCTGATGGATCATGTATGTTTTGGGCAAACGATCCTAAGACTTCTTCCAATTCTTTTCTTTTGCGAGCTGGGAGAGCGTGGTGGATCCGAACCTCGAACAGCTTGTCTTCTTCCAGTTGCGAAGTGCGCGAATGGGTTAGCTGACGCAGTTTCTGCTTCAGCTTACGATTCTCAATCGTCAGGTCATCAATGACGCTGCGGTAATCACCACTACTGCTATTCGAACCCTGTTGCTCGGCATGAGTATATGATTGGTGAGGACGAAGCCTTAACCTCTCAGCAGAAACACCATTTTCATCAGAGCTATTGCTTGCCAGAAAATACGGCGGCTCGTCTCCTTGAAAGAATATCAGTGATCGGACGGATCTTGCAGGAGTTGTATATCACTGACCATCTTCCAGCTTAGGAAACCCTAATCCATTTCCGGGACGCTTGTTAGCCTGATCAAACCATACCTCCGCGCAGGCTCCTGAAGAGTCGCTGTTCTCTGATTTCTTTCTCCTCGAAGATGTCCCCGTCAAATCTAAAGCTCCGCTCATCACTGGCGGCTCGCTGGCCACTGCTGTGTCCGCAGATGTCGCCGGAGTCTCGTGGCGGAGGCTGACTGAAAGATGCGCAGGAGGTCTCCGAGAATGATGGCTCTGGGACGACACCAGCCCTCTTGCTGCAGGTGACGCAGACATCAAATTCTTGCTTCTGTTCTGACGCGGTTTACTGGCTTCGTGTCGCAAGCATTGCAATTCTCTTTCCTACCTCCGAGCGGAACGTGAGCGTCAGGTATGTTGTTTGGATCGCAACTTGTGAGCTGGGCGTTGGTTGATGGCGTCTGTGAACTGGGGATCGGGGGTAACGGACGGGGGGTGAGCCGGTTCGGGGCGCTGGAGGACAAGGGGATGCGTATGGGAAGTGTAGGTAGGTGTATGTGGGTATGTGTGTATGTGTGTATGCGCGTATGTATGTATGTATGTATGTATGTTATATGTATGTATGTACCTAGGTATGGCTCGTGACTGGGGTGCTGCGTGGTATTGCGTCGTCCTCGAGTGGTTGAGACGTCTATTCCCTTAAGGAGTGGGTAGGTAGGTAGTGCCGAGGGCCAAGGGCGATGTCGATGTCGTTGTCGATGTCGTTGTCGTTGTCGTTGTCGGTGTCGGTGTCGATATATGGATCGGGGGTCCCGTGTGGTGGTATGTTATGGTATGTGGTGGTGGTGGTGATGGTATGGCCGAGAAGGGAGAGGCAGGTTTTTGGTCTGGTTTGCTGGATGGTTGGAAGTTGGAGTCGGTGGGAAGAGAAGACGGATGCTGAGGAATGGTTGGAAGCAGGTATCGGTATCGGGAGAGGCGTAGGCGTAGGTATAGGCGTAGAATGTTTGGATATTCTCTGTTGGATCGTGTGGCAGCGAATTTTCAGATCTGGATCGACACCTTGGTCTGCTTGCTCTTCCTCTTCCTCTCCACCGGACGGGCAACATGCTCAGTGATCGAGAATGGGTCGCTCCATCTGCCGGTCTGGTCGATCGACGCCTTATGAATCGGGGCGGCATGGTGGCCGTTGGCGGTTGATCACTGTTTTGCGTGTCGAAAGGAGGCATTTCCCGATCTTCGTGAAGTCGACCGTTTTCTGGGATCGGAATTTCCCAGCAGATCGATGGCCGTCACGTGTTCTATTATGGGGACGGAAAAAACGGGTCCCCAAGTTTTGAAGATTCAAGGGTCGTGAGCAGATGTGATTCGCCCGCCGGGGGGGCTTTAGGTCCTTGGCATCGACCCACATCGATGCTCATCGACCCACATTGACCCATATCGATCCACATCGATCCACATCGAACCCATATCGACCCACATAGAACCCCCATCGACCCCCATCGACCCACATCGATCCAGCAATCATAAAGAGGCGAGAGCGCACCTAGTTTGTTTTGCTGCGCGGCCCTCTTTTCCTGGCTGGGCATCGAAGTTCCGGAGGGGAGGGTGAGAGATCGGATTTACTCTACGGCCCAAAGACCGACTTCGATAATAATAACATGCTGGATACCGTCTAGGATTAACGACCTCTATAAGTAGAGTATGCTCTCGGCCAGTGGCGAACTCCGGAATTGGGTATTTACCCATCAGCCACCCATCAGCCATCAGCCATCAGCCATCAGCCATCAGCCATCAGCGCCTCTGCCTCCGCCTCACCACATTCTCTTGATTAATCTTCAACAAGTTATGGTAATCATCATTCGCTTCATCCTTCTTCTTGATTTATGAGCCACAATGTGAGCATCCCACTCGGTCCTCGGCTCAGCATGCACAGCGGCGGACCGGCCAGGTACGGTAATTCGAATCTATGATTCGCAACCTTCGAGCCTGCGAATTCGTACATCTTCCCTCCCATTCTCCATCAGACGTCTCCGCCGTAGTATGTTTCTGGATACCACAAGCAGGTTTCCACCTTCTTGCCTTCGGCTGAAAACCGCGTAGTGCAAGTTTCTTCTCCCTGTTCTCCAGCAACTATCGCGCGGGCCTTGATATCGAATCCAAAGAACCGGAAGAACAACCTTGGTCCGTTTCCGGTCGGTTGGTCATTATCACCAATGTCAAATTCGTCGTAGGCGCCCGAGGAGTCGGAATCGGCGCTGGCATCGGAGGGGTAGTCGCTCTCGAGGCCCTTTGAACATCGCAATATGCCCCCAAACTGGCCCGAATCGATTCCCCCGAAGATTTGCGTCGGGTTCTCCCAGCAACGAATCTCCATGGTAGCCGGTACAAGGAGTTCCTTGGTGTTGACGGACTGCAGAGTCCACTTTCCGCTGATGTCCCAGTGCTTGCACGTAATCTTCTGCTCCACATAGCTGACTGCCTCCAGGAGGTACTCAATTGTCGGACAGAGCGAAGTACAAGTCTCCGTCTGCCATACTTAGGTTCTCTTCGTTCTTCCCGAGCTTTGTTCTCTTGACCATGAGGGATGCAGCTCCGTGCTCCTCCATCATACGTGCAGTCTTCTCAGCAGTATCGATCTGCTCTGCTCTCAGCAGTGATTCCTCTGCATGCTTCCGTTTCTCGGCGCTGCCATCTTTCTTTAACTCTCGCATCCAGTCCAAGATGATAAGGTGGATTGGTAACGCCGCATCGGCTGCAAGACGCTTCTTCAGCAGACTGACTGCTCCGAATACTGATGGCGCCTTGTGCGATATGCCTCAGAAGGCAAGCTGTGATCTGTAATACTTTAAACCCGACATTGATATGCGGAGTCGGGCCTCCCACTTGGAAGCAAGTCCTCCTCGGGCCAGGATGGCTTCGGAACGAACAAGCGGCCGAAGATCATCGGTTGGTTCCGTATGCTGCCAATGATACATAAGACGTCGTCGTTGAAAAACTCCACCCTGCTGCTGTAGCCGCAACACTCTTCCAATGTCATGATCGAGTCGGCTGTCGGTACTACCGAAAAAAGGGTGTTTTGGCGCCAAGCTTTACTTACCACGTGATCAACTATATTCACCTTGCATCCGAGTATGGCAAGCGCCATTGGTCACGGGGTTTATGTCCAACTTCAATATGGGGTAATAACCGTCTCTTATAAGAGAAGGTCAAAGGACCATGGAAATGACCCCCTACCTGCCTGTAAGGTAGCATAGGAAATTGAAATCCGAAATAAGACACACAGGCTTATACTATTGATCAGCGATATACGGGACTCGCTGAGTCTTCGCCAGGAAGAATGTTGATAGCAGCGGGGAGTACCTGATGTTTACCCTGAACCTCTGTCAAGGACTTACACTGTAAAATTACTAAGTCCCTTTTGAAAAAAATCACTTTGCTTCATCATTATTATTGCGAAGAGAAAACCGAAAAGGGTCCTGAAGAGATCTTGCAGTAGCCCGGCGCCGGTATTTCCCTAAGTACCTTTCCACAAGTACAGAGGTGCGAAGCTCAGCTAAATAGATCTAGCGCTGGTCTGTATCGCGCCTTCCAATAAGGGCGTAGTGAGGCTCAACAAAAGAGAGGCGCTAGGGCGCACGGACCACTAGTCTGGGGCTGTATATTACTTCGCACTGTCTCTTCCTCCTTGCACTTTTCCACCGCTCTCATCAACTCTGAGTCATCTTCACCTCACTGATCAGCTCTAAGCCGTCTTCACCTCTGATCTCATCAACTCTAAGCCATCTCCACCCCTTCACATCAACTCGTCAGTCATTTTCACCCTGTCGGACCAGCTCTGACCATCTTCGAATCTCTTTGAGCCCAGCACACCACTCATCCAGTCAATCCTCTACCTACATATCAACATGTCGGGACCGCCCATCTCGCACCACCTCCCGAGTCCGCGACCCCAAACTCTGCTCAATCACCACCCGAAGAGTCCCAACCAGCATCGACCTATGATATGCCATCATTGGTCAAGCGACTGCGATGGGTCGATCACGCCTTAAGAGATCCCACCCGTAAAATTTCGCCGATTGGGATTATCAACTTCAGATCTACAAGCATGCATGCAAGGACGCTTTCGAGTTGGAAATGGACATTGAAGAAGGAGAAATACTGGGAGACGAGGTGTTGGCACTACACGCGGAGTGGAGATCGACTTTGAGAACGTTCGAGGAGTCAAACGAGTATTTGATCTGCAAATTCCAAACTCGGAGCAATACATCGCAAGAGTTACGTGCGAACATCGTGCAGCTTCAGAAATTGAAGCTTTCAGCTCGGTATGGAGACATGTTTGCCATAGCATGCAAGATGGTTCGAAATCGAGCCCAGGAATCAAACTTGGCCGGAGCTCCCTTGCTCGAAGGTTATTGGACAGATATCTCCCGAAGACTCAGACAGGAGCAACCGAAATGGGAGTTGTTGATGAAGACCAGGAAGCACGAAGAAGGCACCATCACATTGCATCAGACGTTGCTTGAGGCATGCAACGGTACTGGATTCGAGCTCGACGATATCATAACCATCATCTATATGTACTCCGACAGTAACGAGGAAATGCACAGCAACCTCCTCCCCTTGGTCCAAGATGTCTCACCCATTTCAATTGCCACAGAGCTCGACAACGGTTTGAACGATCTGCCAGCAATTATACCACCCGGCAACCTCGAATATCTTCAGATCCTGCAAACACTTATCAATGCCATGATCGACTCTTGGTTTGTGAAGTATCTGGGATTTGAAAAAAAGACTGAACGCTGGACACCTACGCCTGCTTTGAATGAGCTTATGGACTACGTCGCGGCTACGGAGTCAGACATAATGAAGCAACTAGAGAGGTACAAGAAGGCAGAAGTTGAAGTGATAAAGACCTTCCGGATGCGACTAGCCCCAGAAAAACTTGGGGTCGAATTCAAGGAGGCATACCAGAAGCTTGAAGAGATGTCCGAGATGGTCATTGCACAGCCCGTGTCAAAGCGTGAAGCCTCTGCGAATTACACTGTACAGGAGGCAAAAGCAAAGAGACAGAAAACTTTGTGGAAAAAGCTCACGACTACTACGCATAAGCGCTATCTCTTGGTAATGAGTGGACGAAGGAGTTCGGTGGGATGAAGATACCAGACGAGGTGGTAGAGGACAAGTTTGGTGAGACGGAATACCATAGGAGGTGGTGAAGGACCAGGAAATCACTCTGGATGTGGGCTTAGGTGAAAAGCAGAACTATGACCACTAGTAGGGAGGTATTAGCTTGCACAGAACCATCACTTGCACCCTCCACTTTTCTCTATTATCTACTATGTGATATGAAGTATTGCTATCAGGCGCGAACTTTCAATCACCAAACATTTTCGTCCTCTGCGAACCCTGCTGTTGTCTAATTTCTATAGCTTCACTTTTGAGTAATATTTTTGTTGTTCTTTTACTCGTCGCCCGAGTATGGAAGTATACTTTACAAAACTGGCTTTTCCATCCTCCATTCTCCGATCTCAATATAGCGTATTGCAAAGCCTCAAATCGATAGAAGGCTACAGGCATATCTCAGACGCTTTCCTACCTATACCTTTTAGATACCAAGTTCTGTTAAGAATTAAAAAAAAAAAAAAAAACCTCACCAGCACAATAATCCAATCTGCTTGCAGCTTGCTCACCGAACCCGTGAATCTACACAAGCTTACTCAGCCCTCGGGATTTCTGCAGTAGATGTCAAAATAGGAGATTCGACGATCACTTCGGGGCGAAAAGTCACTGGTGTAACGAACCCTGCGATGGGATCCCCCCTTCCTTGGTCACGGGAGGAAAACCAGCGGTTCCAACGGCTAGAGAGAGG